TAGTAGTAGTAGTAGTAGTAGTAGTAGTAGTGGTAGTAGAAGTAGTGTCATTAGTAGTAGCAGTCGTCGTAGTAGTAGTAGTCGTCGTCGTAGTAGTAGTGACAGTAATAGTAGCACTGGTAGGAGAAAAAAAACAGTAGTAGCAAGCATTAGTTATAATCGTCATCGTAGCCATGGTAGTAGTCGTACCAATGGTAATCGTAGTCGTAAGCATACTGATCGCGGTTGCCGTACTCGTAGTGGTAGTGGTAGTAGTAGTAGTAGTAGTAGTAGTAGTAGTAGCAATGGTAGTATTAGTAGTCGTAGCAGTCGTGGTAGGAGTCGTAATAGTGATAGTAGTCGTAGTATGAGTTGCTGTCGTAGTCGTAGTAGCTGTACTCGTAGTAGTGGTGATAACAATTGCACTGGTAATAACAACAGGCTCAATAGTACTCGGAAGCGTAGTCGTAGCCGTAGTAGTGTTAGTAGTAGTAGTAGTAGTAGTAGTAGTCGTAGTCGTAGTGGTAGTGGTAGTGGTAGTAGTAGTAGTAGTAGTAGTAGTAGTAGTAGTCGTAATAATAGTAATAGAAAAAGTAGTAGTAGTAGTAGTAGTAGTAGTAGTAGTAGTGGTCGTAGTCGTAGTAATAGTAGTACCCGTAGTAGTCGCATTAGTTGTATTTATTAGCAGGAAGCATCAAATAATAGTCATACTAATAGTAGTAGCCATCGTACTCGTAGTTGTAGTTGTACTAATAATAGTAATTGTAGTAGTAGTAGTAGTAGTAGTAGCAATAGGAATAGCTAGTATGAGTAATCGTAGTAGTCGTAGGCGTAGTCGTAGTATTAGTAGTAGCAGTAGCAGTAGTAGTAGTAGTAGTAGTAGTAGTAGTAGTAGTAGTAGTAGTAGTCGTAGTAATAGTAGTAGTAGTAGTCGTAGTAGTAGTAGTAGTAGTAGTAGTAGTAGTAGTAGTAGTAGTAGGTAGTAGTATAGTAGTAGTAGTAGTAGTTAGTAGTAGTAGTAGTAGTAGTAGTAGTAGTAGTAGCGTAGTAGTAGTAGTAGTAGTAGTAGTAGTAGTAGTAGTTAGTAGTAGTAGTAGTCGTAGTAGTAGTAGTAGTAGTAGTCGTAGTAGTAGTAGTAGTAGTAGTAGTAGTAGTAGTAGTAGTCGTAGTAGTAGTCGTAGTAGTAGTAGTAGTAGTAGTAGTAGTAGTAGTCGTCGAAGTAGTAGTAGTAGTCGTAGTAGTAGTAGTAGTAGCAGTAGTAGTAGCAGTAGTAGTAGTAGTAGTAGTAGTAGTAGTAGTAGTAGCGGTAGTAGTAGTAGCGGTAGTAGTAGTAGTAGTAGTAGTAGTAGTAGTAGTAGTAGTAGTAGTAGTAGTAGTAGTAGTAGTAGTAGTAGTAATAGTAGTAATGGTAGAAGTACTGGAAATAGTAGCTGTAATCGTAGTCGTAGTAGTGGCCGTAATGAGAAGAATAGTCGCTATCTACTAAAATTAATACCAGTGAACAAGTCCCGATCCACATCTCTTTAGGGCTATAGGGCTAAAGGGCTATGGGGGTATAGGGCGATGGGGCTATGGAACTATAGGGTTATAGGGCCATAGGGCTACAGGTTTATAGGGCTATAGGGCCATAGGGCTATAGGGCTGTAGGGTTATAGGGCTCTGGGGCTCTGGAACTATGGGCTAGAAGGCTATTGGGCCATAGGGCTATGAGTCTATAGGGCTATGGGGATATAGGGCTGTAGAACCATAGAGCTATGGGGCGATATGGATATAGGGCGATGGGGCTGTAGGGCAATGGGACTATAAGCATATATAGAGCTACAAGGCTATAGGGCTACAGGGCTGTAAGGCTATAGGGTTCTAGGGCTATAGGGCTCTAGGGCTATGGGGCTAGGAGGCTATTGGGCTATGGGGCTATAAGGCTATGGGGCTACGGGGTGTTGGGCTATAAAGCTATAGAACTATAAGGCTAGAAGGCACCCATGCACCCGGGCACCTGGGCGGGCGGCGGAAATCGGTGACACACCTCACCTAACCATATGAATCCGCTAAGACCCCTACAGGGGCAAGCTCTGATTGGGGAACTGCCGTAGTCGTCATGCCCATGATAATCGCAGAAGTCCCGCAGACGCCCGGCCGAGGCCGCAGGGCGCGCCGCCGCCCAGGGACTTCGATTCGGCCCCCAGCAATGCCAGAGCGCTCGAAATCAGGTCCCTGGGAGGTGGTGGGCGCGCAGACGGGGGAAAGCTCGGGGCCGCTGGGGCCCCCCTCCTGCGGACCCCCCGCCGCTCAAGTACGTGGGTTTCGGACGCTCAGGCGCCGCGGGCGGCGGAATTCCTCTCGTGGCCAGTTTTTCAAGCGTTACCGTTACAGGGACGGGGGGTGGTCGATGGGGGGTAGCATGCGTTATCCCTGGGGGAACGAATGTAACAACACTAACAGAGTGCGAACGGTAGGAACACTAATAGCGGTAGTAGGGGTAATACTATAACCATAGTGATACTGATAATGCTGCTACTCATGAACAGAAGATACCAGCTACGATTGGTACTTGGCATGGTTGAAAATAAAGCTCGGCCTCGCCGCCCCCAACCGCCAACCAAAAGTGTCTTGGCCGGAGACACTCAAAACTCGGGACTGAAGGGAGAGGTATATATGATTATCCGAGGGACGGGGTTCTGCTCCAGGCAGCTTGTTTCGTAACCCCCCCTCTTCCAGTCCCCCCTGTGTGGGCATCGTTTAACCGATCCCTACCCCCACTGGCACGGCCTTGGTCTACCCCCTGGGGTGGGGATACGTGCTGTTCCCGTCGCGTTTCACAGGACCTATCCCCACCTAGGCGGGTGATCTGGTGGGGCTGAGATTCTATGGCGCAATGGGGATAGGGATCGGTTCGACGATGCTGACTCTCGTCCGCCCTCCTCCCGTCCAAAGCCCTGGACCCGAATGCTTACCGGCGCCGGCCTGCTCTGCGATGCCAACCCCTGCCGGCGCGGTGCTGAGGTGGTATCTGCTGGCGCCTGCTGCGCGGGAGCGGCCAAAAGCCCCTGCCCGAGCCTGCCAGTATTGCCCCCCTCCACCTGGAGCCATGAAGCGCGTTTAGCCCTGGCAGATGCAATTCGTACATGCGTGAAGCAGGAAGGCGCTGCAAAGGGACTGGGTCTTCGACCCCCGCCAACATTGTATCCTTGATCAGGGATGGCGCCGAAAATACGCTGGTACCTGGGAGCCAAACACAACTCATACTTTCAGCGAGCGATGGGGAGGGAAGGAGGGAGAAAGGGGCGCGTGGCGAAGACGGGGGGAAGCGCAGGCCTTCTTCTCGGCAAGCGGCGGGCTTCTCACAAGCCCTCTGGCCTTCTGAGAAGCCCTCTGCCTTCGGAAATTGCTAGGAACACACACACATATATATATATATATATATATATATATATATATATATATATATATATATATCAGAAGGCCCGAGGCCCTGCGAGCCTTCTGAGAAAGTCCGCTCCCTCTGACATCCCCTCTGGGCTCACCGACGAATGATGGAACTTCTTCCGCACCGGATCCCTCGCTCGGAAGGCTCCGCACTCGCTGCGCTGGCGACGCTGACGGCACTGCGGCCCGAGGTCCGATGCAGGGAGGCCGTCTCAGGGCGGTCGGAGAGTCTGAACATCATCCGACAGTTTCCCCTGCGAGAGCCATGGAGAATTCAACGAACACTTGTCGATGATTTTTCATGTGCAGGACTTCTTCCCCGTGTCGCTTGCACCAGTTGGCCCAGGAGGGACCCAGGAGACGGCCTCCCCAACGGGGCCCACGGTGGCCCAAAGACCGCCCCAAATGGCCTCGCGACGGCACGCAGAAAGCACAGACGAAGGGGCCAAACGACTGCCGCTCAAGAGACTCCGAGACCAGTTCCAAGAGGCCACAGGGGGCCCCAAGGCGCCCAGGAGAACCCAAGAAGAGCCCCAAGAGAGTCCAAGAGAAGCCATAAACGGTTGAAATCATTGAACAATATGTTGTCCGCTTTCGATTCCCTTGGGCCTAAGACGGCTTCAAGAGTGTTTTTGCAGCGCCCAGAAGATGGCCCAAGAGAACACTCGGAAGGGCCCAATCGGCTTGGAACACCTGGGAGTGATTGCGGAATTTAGGCCTGGAGCAAAGCTGCGGGCTTCGTCGGGTGAGGGGCTGGGGTCTAGGGGAAACGAGGAGAAGGCGGCCAAGGGCTGGAACGACACGACAGTGATAAATGAGTATCAAGAAAATCGCCGATCCCGCGTGTGAGCTACAGGGAACCTCAGCAAGAGCTTCAGCTCTGAACCTAAGCAAGAACTTCAGCTCTGCTTGGGGGGGGGTCGCCAAGGTGGCTCTGCCGGGGAAAGGGGGGGAGGGGGGGGGTCCTCCATCTGGCGTTTTCTTAATGATTTGCGTGTTTCGGGGTGTACCAGGGACCCCCCCCCAGGACTCTCCCCTCGGAACCCTCCCCGGACCCCCCCTGGGGAAAGGGGGGGGGAGGGGGAAGCGGTCCCCCATGGGGCGTTTTCTGAAGGATTTGCGCATCCCCGAAATGTTTCGGGGGATCCCAGGGACCCTCCTCAGATCTAGCCGCTACTGCCCCCAAAACCCTCCCAGCGGAACCCTCCTCAGATCCCCCCGGGACCGCTCCAGGCACCCCCCCAGAGGGCACGTCAGCTCCAAAAAGCATCCCCGACGACTCCAAGAGCGCCTTCCCTTCCAAACAGCGCCCCCGACGATTCCAAGATCACCAAATCCGGACCCCCCCGGGATCGGCGGCACTGGCCGGAGGCCATTACAATATATCTACTCTCCTCATCCTCCCGCCGCGCTCCCCACACGGTCCCAAGGGGCCACGATTCGCCGAAATATCGCGCCTGGACGCCCATGACGGCCTCCAGGCGGACTCCGAAGCTGCCAAGACGCCCCCAAAAAAACCCAAGATGCGCCCCAAGAGGGTCCCAAGAAACAAAAGTTGTCCCATTCCCTTTGGAAGAAATCGCATGGCGAAGGACCCAACCATATGCAGTTGTGAATATCGCAATTGTATTTTTTCGGTGGCGTTCCCTATGGGGCCGCGAACCGTATGAAGGGTGCGCCGAAGTGTGTGGCGGGGTACACAACACGAACGAATACGATAGGTCTAGTTACGAAAAGCTGAGCGCGGGTGAGTGTGAGCGTGGGTGAGTCTGAGCGTGAATGAGTCTGCGTGCGAGTGAATATGTTTGCATGAGTGCGAGCATGGGCGCGCCTGGTGTGTATGTGTGTATATATATACACACGAATGCGAATGGTTCACGTATGCCTGACACTGAGCACTCGTGACGCTGAGCGTGGCCGCCGCAGGGAACTCCCCCTGGAACCCCGACAGCAGCGCCCGCACGCCGCGACGCCCATGTCGTCACGCTCCTCACGTGGATCGCGCCCGCTTCCTTCCCGTTCTGTTTCTCCCTGTTTGCCCGTGCGCGCCCATGTCCAAGGCTGCGGGCGCGGCGCCGCACGGAGTCCCCGCGGCGCGCGTTGGTCGCCCCGGAAAGGTCCCGGCGACGCGCGCGGGTCGTCCGGTGCGTGGAGCAGGGAGAGCTAGCTGGCTGGCTGATAGCGGGCAAAACTAAGGCCGCTGGGCAGAGCAACGACGAGGGCGAGCGAGGCTCTGGGCAGAGCGCAGCGCGGAATTCCCGCGACGCGCGCTGGTCGCCCCGAGAGGGTCCCAGCGACGCGCGCGGGTCGCCCGCGGCGCGAGGCCAAACAGTCAGACCGTCGAGAGACGGCGAGGCTCGGGCGGGCCGCTTTTTTCACTTCAGGTGAAGCCTCGCGGATAAACTCGGTGAGGCTCAGCTCCGTGGCGAGGGTCGCCGCCTCCCTCCTGCATCGTCTCGTGCGCGTGGCAACCTGCTCCAGCTGCTTCCGCAATCCCTCCGGCGGCCCTGCCAGTAAGAACTCGATGCAAACTGCACCACTGGGACCTTCGGAGGAGCTCCTTCTGGGGTCACGAAACGTGTGAAGGGTGTGCCGCAATGGGGCGGCGGGCGGCGGCGCCATGGGAACTGCGCCAGTGAGACCTTAGGTGGAGCTCCCTGTGGGCCGCCACGAAACGTGAAAGGTGTGCCAAAAGGGGGCGGCGGCGCCATGCGATCTGCGCCACTGGGACCTTAGGAGGAGACCCCTTATGGGGCCACGAAGCGTGCGAGGGGTGTGCCACAAGGGGGCGGCGGCGCCATGCGAGCTGCGCCGCTGGGACCTTAGGTGGAGCCCCTTATGGGGCCACGAAGCGTGAGAGGGGTGTGCCAAAAGGGGGCGGCGGCGCCATGCGAGCTGCGCCACTGGGGTCTTAGGTGGAGCCCCCCTATGGGGCCACGAAACGTGCCAGGGGTGTGCCACAATGGGGCGGCCGCGCCATGCGAGCTGCGCCGCTGGGACCTTAGGTGGAGCCCCTTATGGGGCCACGAAACGGGTGAAAGGTGTGCCACAATGGGGCGGCGGCGCCATGCGAGCTGCGACGCTGGGACCTTGGGCGGAGCTCACTGTGGGGCCACGAAACGTGTGAGGGGTGTACCACAATGGGGCGGCGGCGTCATGCGAGCTGCGCCAGTGGGACCTGCCTCCTGTGGGGGCCAAAATAGGGCGGCGGCGCCATGCGAGCTGCGCCACTGGGACCTTGGGTGGAGCCCTCTGTCGTCCACGAAGCGTGTGAGGGGTGTGCGACAATGGGGCGGCGGCGCCATGCGAGCGTCGCCACTGGGGCCTTAGGAGGAGTTCCCGATAGGGCCACGAAGCGTGTGAGGGGTGTGCGAGAAGTGGGGTAGTGGCGCCATGCGAACTGCTCCCATGGGACTTGAGATGGAACTCCCTATGGGACCACGAAGCGTGTAATGGGGTGTGCCAGAAGGGGGCGGCGGCGCCATGCGAGAAACGCCACTGGGACCTTAGGTGGGGCTCCCTGTGGGGCCACGTGTGAGGGGTGTCCCAAAATGGGGCGGCGGCGCCATGGGAGCTGCTCCACTGGGACCTTAGGTGGAGCTCCCTATGGGGCCACGAAGCGTAAGAGGTGCGCCAAAAGTGGGGCGGCGGCGCCATGCGAGCTGCGCCACTAAGGAGGAGGAGGCGGGAGGGAGGGAGGGAGGGACGCGGGGCGCTGTCTCTTACTGGGTGGGGGTGAAACGCAGGGAGGAGGGAGGAGGATATGATGATGATGATGATAATGAGGAGGAGGAGGAGGAGGAGGAGGAGGAGGAGGAGGAGGACAGGAACGCGGGGCACCTTCTCTTCAAAACGAGGACCCAACACCACAAAATGGTTGGGAACAAACAGTTTTCGCATGCTCGTCTATTCGGCTTTCACGACGTCCCAGACGGGCAACGAAACCTTCAAGATCGCTCCCAGACGGCCAAAGGGACCCCCAAGAAGGGTCGAAGAGGGTTCAACAACAACCCACGAAACCCCAAAGACAGTCCAAGAGGGCCCCCAGACGGCTCCAAGACGGAGTCCAGAGTCCAGAGGGCACCTTTTCGAGTCTTCGGTCCCAAGACGCCCCCAGCCCGCCCCAAGAACACCCCAAGAGGCCCTGAGGGACCCCCAAGAGAACCGCAGAGGCCTCCAAGAAGCCTCGAGGCATCTTGGGCCAAGTTTTGGTATAGGTCCCCAAACTTGGCCCAAGATGCCTTGAGGCGGCCGGATATGGCCTGCAGGGAAGCCAAGATGCCATCAAAAGGCCACACAAAAACACCAAGAGGTACGATCACGGCAACGAAGCAACAGGAACGACGTCGAGCGCCGTGCCATGATTCGGACAAGCCTCGTGAAATGCAGTCCTGGAGGCGCAATCGTTTATATAGGGGTCGGCGGATGTGGCGTTAGCCTATAGATCTTTACTCTCCTCATCCTCCGCCACGCACCTCCTGTGCCATGACCCGAAAGACGCTCCAATATTGTTCGAAAAGAATATCAGAGTGCCTCAGGATAGCCCCAATATGGTCCCAGAAGCTAGACTTCATTGATTTGCCGTTGGTTTTTGGCAGATTTCGACGTCAGCGCCTTTTCGAGTTCCCGATTGCCGCAGACTGCCCAAGAGGCCTCAAGATCGGCCCAATAAGCTTCCAAGACGGCTCCGAAACGGCCCAAGAAGACCCCAAGAGGACACAATAGGCCCCCCAAAAGGGCTCCAGAGGCTCCCAAGAGGCTCCAACAGGAGTCCTTGCCCCAAAGATGGCCTCCGTTACTGCCAGAATGACACCAAGAGGGCCCCAGAGGCCCCCAACCCCCCCAAGAGGTCCCAAGCAATTATCCCCAAAGATGCCCCAACGAGGCCCCGCCACTGCTCCCACGAGCATGCAGGCACGTGCCAACAATGATAGAATATGGGCCAGCAGAATCAGCGAAAGGACTGAATAAATCTGTGTACCCTCCTCATCCTCCAGCCCCCCTCTCCTCCTTTGCCATGACCCGAAATGGCCCTCAGGTAACTGCATACTGGACACCCCGAAACTCTCCTGACCAAGCTTGCTCATCCCGTATGCTTTTTAAAGGGTTCCAGGGCCCAGGAGGGGCCACACGGGAGGCCGACAACGGCGAAGAGTTTCAGGACCCGTTTGCCGCAGGAGCCCTGGCCCAGAGCGAGGGGGAGCTCTTGCCCGAGTGCGCTTCTGCTGGCACTGGCCAGGTGGGACGGGCCTCGCCTGGAAACACGGCTGCCCCCTCGAAGGCGCCAGACACTGGCACCCCTGGGCTACCGCGGGAGCCCCGACCCCCACGTGATCTCCTTGCAAAGCGGGCCTGGAAGCCTGGACCACTCCCCCGGGGACCGGCTGTCTCATTTCGACCCGCCATGCTGACGGCCCTGGTGCCCGCCGAGGGCCTTTCGGGCGCCGACATTCCCCCTCCAACGCGGGGTCCCCAGAAGTCCCGACCCTTACCCCTGGGCCTGGTTCTCAGCCCGAGTCGTCTCTGGCCGGTCCCAGGGCCCGGCGGGGGCGCCCAGGGCCCGCAAGCGGTGAACAACCTCCGACTTGAGCTCTTCAATGTGGGACAGGATCTCCTCCTCCTCCTCCTCCTCCTCCTTTCCCTCCTCCTCCTTTCCCTCTTCCTCCTCCTCCTCCTCCTCCTCCTCCTCCTATTCCTCCTACAGAGGACCAACTAACGACACAAACATAATTATCCTGGCGAAAGACCCAACCATATGCAGTTGTGAATACCGCAATTGTGAATACCGTCTTCGCCCGCGCTCCCTATGTGGCCACGGCTTCCCGCCGGAGCCCGACATGCTCAGGGACACGTTCGTGGCCGTCTTCGCGGGCGCCGACGACGACAAGGACGGCGTCCCTCTCACCGAGGAGCAGAAGCAGGAAAGGGCCTTGAGAGCCATGAGGGAGGAGGTGGCGTTGCACGTCGACAAGGCGGAGTACGACGCCCAGGCGCGGTTGTTGAAGCAGCACAACTATGGGGCCACGATCCTCGTGAGGGGTGTGCCGAAATGGCCCGGGGCCGCCATGCGAACCCTGCCACTGGCGCCTTCGGTGGAGCTCCCTTTATGGGTCCACGATCGTCGTGAGGGGTGCGCCGAAATGGCCCGAGGCCGCCATGCGAACCCTGCCACTGGCGCCTTCGGTGGAGCTCCCTATGGGGCCACGATCCTCGTGAGGGGTGTCCAGGGGCCCCTTTCGGAGCCAGCAGTCAGCTGGGGCCCAAGAGGGACCCTTCAGGGCGCCTTTTCTTCCCTCGGGGATGGACTGAACCCCCTTAGCAAAACGTGGTAAAATGAAAGCGAGATAGGGCCCAAACCTGGCGGGCGCAAACCTGGAAAATGACGGCCGCGGCGCCCTCTCGAGAACCGAAAACGGACAATTCACTAATCGACGTGTCAGGGTGGGGGTTATGTCCACCCCCGATTCCCCCACCCGGTTCGGTGATCCCTCCTCACCACCCGCCCGACCTTCGCGACCCTCCCGCTGCGCGAGGAGCCCTGGCTCTGCGCGGTCCCCCTCCGCCCGCGCCCGAGGGCCTCCGTCGCCGCTCGCCTCGCCCTCGCCGCCCGCACTGCCCAGGGGGGCGGCGCCGCGGCTGCTGGGGCCGCTGGCGCTGCTCGTGCCTCGGGAGGCCAGGGGGAGCCCATTCGGCCCAGGGAGGCTGAGATCTGGGCGATGCATATGTTTCGCTCCAAACATGTTCGCCCAATTTCGGGCCCGGGACCCTCATGGGCAAACCTGGCTCGGAAAATGCCGCAGAAAAATTGAGTGTAGGGCTCTGGGCTGGATTTTTCGCGCTATTGCATTTTTCTGCGACGTTGCAGAGAGCGGGGGTGGGCCAGGGGTAGAGGATGCGGCTCAGGACAGAAGGGGAGGGATGGAGGAAGCACCTGGCCGGTTGTGTCCGGGGCTCCTCTGGGCCTCCCGCTGTGTCTTCATCCTCCTCCTTCTCCTCCTCGTTTCCTTATCCTGATGCACAACTTTTCCCTGTCGCACCCCGAGGCCAGGTTTTAGGGCGGGCTGCGCGTTTCGCCTGAGATCTCCTTACCACTTATGACCATGAAGCTGAAAAGTGGCAGTGGTTTCACATCTGGAGGGCGGGTGGTTGTCAACATGTGGCTCTCGCCTTAGCGCCGCGCGCATTCGTCTTAAGAAGTAGCAAGAGCTTCACGGATTGAGGGTGGGTGATTTTCAACATGTGGCTCTCGCCTTAGCGCCGCGCGCATTCGTCTTAAGAAGTATGCAAGAGCTTCACGGATTGAGGGCGGGTGGTCTTCTAAATGTGGCTCTCGCCTTAGCGCCGCGCGCATTCGCTTTAAACATTTGCAGAAGTGTCTCGGATGGAGGGCGGTTCCTTTACAACATGTGGTTCTCGCCTTAGCACCGAGCGCATTCGTTTCTCAGAAAATCGCAAGAGCATCACGGATTCCCATGATCAGCGCACCAGAAATAGCGTCTTGGAAGGATTCAGGATTATGAGGGTGCAACAGAAGTCCCAGAAATGGCGTTCTGGCATCATTCGGTGTCGTCAAGACGCAACAGTCAGGTTGATCCGTGGCGTTGGAATCGCGAGAACAATGTTCTGGCATGCTGCAGAATATTATATCGGTTGTCTTTCGACAAGGCAGTTCCTTCAGCGGGGATGCACTGTTGTAGGAGCCTATGCAGAGGGAGCTTGGAGGGCGGGTTGATTACAACATCGTTGATGACTCTTGGGTGTACAATGGTCCTCCTCCTCCTGCGGCCGTGTGGGCGGCGTCGAGTGGGGGCGGCCCAGGCACCCGTCCTCCCATCATAGGGATCGCTGGTCAAACTGCCTGGTCTGCGAACGGGCCGCCATTGAAGAGTTCCTCGGGCAAGCCGATTGCTAGTGGGGAGGTTACCTATTGCTTTGGCCGCACTCCAACTCGCAGCTTGTCATGGGGGTTGCTATACAAAGCGTCCGCCCTGACTAGCGGCCCCTTTTCAGCTCAGGGTGCGAAGCCCCTGTGTGTGTGCACGGGGTGGGCATGTAGGAAAATCCTGGGTCCATCCAATCTTTAAGGGACAAGCAACACAGGCCTGGTCGACACTTCAGGGAAGGCATCCTGCGGGCGACCATTTGGGTGCGAGAGGCAGAGGGAGGATTCGACGACCTGGATTCTGGGTTCGGCCAACCACGTGGCTCAAGAGGAAGGACCGCCTCAACGAGAGTCGTCGATGACCACCGCTGACACAGCCCGCCTCCGAATCATCATCAATTCACCGCCGCATCTCTAGGTAAAGGGGCCAGATTCGACTCGCTCTCCATTGCGAGGCGACAATAGGGAGGACTGGCTCAGGGGGGAGACATCGAGCTTGCATCAATGTTACATCGCCGATGGATCGGCGATCGGCCACTGACTAGCGAAACCGCACGTTCCTGGGCTGGGTGGGCTATCGGGCCCCTATCGGCAATTGGGGATCGATGCGTTCCCCCTCTGAGGCTATCCCCGCCTAGCGTTTCCCTGGAGGGGATGAGGGGACGAGGAGGGGAGGGGCATCGTGCTACCACACGGAACGCGGGCAAAGGAACGAAGAGGCTTTTATGACCACGGCAAGTCTCAGCGACGAGGAGATTCCCCGACCTGGATCTTAACAACAACTCGACGAGTCGAGAACTGGAGCCCCTCCGGAACCCCATGATGCCCTGGTTCCAGCGGCATGATGTCAGCTCTCTCACGGTCTGAGCGTGCTCCGCCGCCCGCGGCTTCTTCCGCCCCCCCTCCGCGCCGTATCCTTCTCCTGTGGTGCCCAATTCGGCTCCGGTGTATCCCCCACTGCCCCAACCACGTCTTGGATCCAAGCTGCCGCTGGCAAAAAGTTTTCAGCGTCCTGACTGTAGCAGTGCCCATGATGATCGCCCCCCCCCCCCCCTCCGAAGGCTGGCGCCAATAGGCGCTGGAGGCGGGTGCCGGTTTCCTGCCTCTGCTGTTGCCGTGCCTCTCTTCTGCTCTCGTCCTGCTCTGCGAACGTGCTTCGAACCTCACCAGCCGAGAGGTGACCCGGTGACATTTTCGGGGTGCTTTGCTGGCCCACTGGTGCTGCGCCCATCGTGTGCTGGACCACGTTTTCCGACGGTTGAGATGGAGCCTGGCCCCTTCGTGACCACCACCAAGGACAGAGAAACGGTAAACCGCGAAATGTCATGTATAGAGAGCGAACGAGGGAGATAGAGAAAGAGTCTGCGAAACATCCGAGCATGATGTGCGTGTTTGACGCAACGTCTCGGTAGAGAATAGGGCTCGCACTGCTCATGGGGGCTCCAGTGGTGCCATTGCCTGCGTAGACGTGCCACGCCGCAACGAGACCAACCCAGTGGTTGATATATCGATAGTCTCCTTAGACCTTATTGCACCCGAGCGCAGGAGGGGCAAGCAGATAATAAATTTCGAACGGTGGCAAACCACAGCTGTACTGACAAGGGTGGCCTGGTGCGAGAAATTATCGCTGCAATGCGGTCTCCCGTTGAGCTTACGAGAAGATCGACTGACGCGCCTGGAAAATTGATAGCTGGTGAAGGGCATGCGTCCGATCGAACGGGCCACACGTGGCGAACAATAACAACCAACGTTTGTAATAGCTATAGGTGTGGCTCTCGGGCCGTGGCTTGGGCGTCACGATTGTCTGGGGCGACGGCACCGCCTCAGGAAATTGATTGCCCGCCCTGGTGCCTTCCTGACGTTTAGGGGCCCAGGCGGACAACGAAAACCTCCAAGATTCTCTGGACGACGTATGTGTGGTTACGCACACCCTGGGTGCATCATTCGCCTGCTACTTGGGGCCAGATTTCTGGGGGTCAGAGTCAGCGCACGATGAAATAAGGAATACATGAAGTGCATATTTTCCGACAACTACCCTGCGACGATCCGCCCCCGCGCACACACACACACACCTGCAAACGACTGAACCGAACAATTGCCCAAAACTGTTGCGGATCATCTGTTTATCGTGAAAGCTACATTGGAGGTTCGCGCGCGACGGGGCTCACAGGACACCAGTAGGAAAGTGTGGGCGGGATGGGCGGAAATAAACCCACGGCCCAGGAGGGGAAAGGAGCGGGCGCGAACCGGGAGCGGAACAGCAACACGAGGCAGGGTGCGCAAGAACGAAAGGATGAAGGAGGAAGGAAGAACGAGGGGAATGTTTCAACTCTGTCCCACGCGCAACGGCGCCCTGGGAACGGCTGATTCTCATTGGTGAGGGAACTGGGCCAGGCCGAGCGCCAGGGCCGGCCGCTCGGGCCCCCTCCGGCACTTTTCACCTCGGAAGTCAACCGCGGGCAGGCGCGCCGCCAAGCCCACGGGCGCTCCGCGGGCATGAAACGCCAGCCCCGGGCCCCGTACCCTCAAGATATGATCGGCCGCCGTGGCCTTGGAAGGCAGCACAACCACAAGGCGTCAAGGCCAGCCGTGTCCTTGCGCCTGGCAACGGCGACGACTCCGCCGCGCATAGTCTGGTCCTGACAAGCCGTGAATCTCAGGACCTGGGAGCGCGAGAAAGCAAAACCGGTGCACTTGACGATTGTCTCACGCTTCGCAGCCCCTCAGACATGGCGAGGTCTCATCTCTGGATCCACCCAACACTCCTCGAAAGTGGTAACGGTTCACACTTCGCATCACCCCCCCAAGCATGACGAGGTCTAATCTGGATCCCTGGAGGACCCCACTACGCTTGACCCCCAAGTAGCCTCTCGAAAGTGGCGACAACAACTCGAAAGTGGCGACAACAATTTCGCATTTCTTGGCCCGGCAAGCATGGCGAGGTCTACCCTGGATCCCCGCTTGACAACTGTGCTGGATCACCCAGTAGCCCTCGAAAGTGTCGACAGTTTCACACTTCGCAGCCCCGCAGGCATTGCCAGGTCCAATCTGAATCCCCGTAGGGAGGGCCCCACTGTGCTGGACCCCCCAGCACAGATCGAAAGTGGTGACAATTTCACACTTCGCAGCCCCCCCAACCACGACGAGGTCTAAGCTGGATCCCGTGTAGGACCCCATTATGCTGGACCCCCCAGTAGCCCGCGAAAATGTCGACGGTTTCACTCTTCGCAGGTAGGAAGCCGTAGGAAGAGAGGAGGAGAGAGGAGGGATGCGGGAGAAGGAGGTGGAGACCAGGAAAGAGGAGAACAACGACAGGAGACAGGAGAAGAGAGCTGGAGGTAGTAGAAAAAAGGGGGCCAGGGGAGGAAGGAAGAGAGAGAGAGAGAGAGAGAGAGAGCAGGAGGGGGGCAGGAGGAGGATGGAGACCGCGATGCTAGACTCAAAACAACATCCCAACTTCGGGTTGGGAAACATGCTGGTACGGGCGACGAACTTCCAGAGTTACCAAGGAAGCACACGACTTGTTTTGTGTTTAGACATGCGGCCCCGCCCTATGAAAATCCAAGGGCGCGGACGGGGCCGTGGGAAGATCCAAACAACACCGCGGACAACAATTCGCCACAAGAGACACCCTTCCCCCTGCAACCGAAACGTTGCGAAGGGCCTTGGAACTTCCCAGCCGTGGCAACGACCGCCTGTACGGGCCGTGCGGGCGATGGCGGGTTGGGGGCTGACATGCAGTCAAAGTGGCGCACGACAAGCAACGCAACAACTCGTGGCTAGCATGTGCGCGCAATTGCATGGCCGTGCATTGAAATATGTTTTGAAGACGCGCTATGCCACATGATGATGACAACATAATGGCGCACAACTTCGGGACAAAAAACGGTCACATGCATCCGTTTGTTGGCGCGTCTGTCGGTTAGCCTTCCGCCCGGAACCAGTGGGACGATCGAGACGTGACCGTCGTCGTCGTCCTCTCCTCTTGCTTCTCCTCCTCCTCCTCGTTCTCTGCGCCCGCATGTCACGCATCTTCGGCTTCTCACTCTGGGAACGACGATGAACAAGCTGAGGCTGACGTGCACGTACACGCTAAGCATGTTTCTAAGGGGCTGTCGGACGGAGTGCTAGGCCAATAGGCTCGACCTAAGAAAATATACGCGAATTACGTGTTCAACCATAGCGAGTACAATGTGCGACACGAAGAAAACGCGCACGTACAAACTACGTCCTTGTGAATTCGCAACCGTAGCCCATCCCAACCCTGTTGAGAATTAGTCATTCTCTGGGGGGGGGCGCTTTCGATTTCAGATCGGTCTGGCTGCCCCTTGAGGCGCATTGTGAGCAATAGCGACGGCATTTCCGAAAACTGGGCTGACCCCAGGCGCTGGGGGGGTCCCAGACAGCAATGTGCAGCTTCAGTGCATAACGAGGCATCGCTGCATTGTATTACTATGCGAGTGCGCTTAACTTTAGTTACGCCTACGCGTCCCCAAGGGATCCAAGGCCCTTGTCAATAAATCGGCTGCCTCTGCCTGAGACTCTCGCGCCAAAGCCATGTGTCTCGGCGCTGCACGACCCATCCGCGGGATGCAAGCTGATGAATGTCACCGCGACCTCTTTCGGGCTAACCCCTCCCACTCGTCGACAAAGAGGCCGCGGAGGAGCACGAGATGACCAATCAAGGACCACCACCTGTGAGCCGAGCATCTTACAGGACGCGTGGGCAGAAGATAGCGCAATTGACAACTCTTCGGATAATGCGAAAAGGGGGACAGAAAAGGAAGAGAAAGAGGAGGCCAAGACGAGGGATACCTCGGATGAGCTGTACCATCTTGTGCACGTGGGGAGGAGGGAGAGCAAAACATGCGGGAGACGAAGGGACGAGAGGGGTGACTTGACCCCTATCGCTCAGGGCGAGGGGGGCAAGAATTGCCCCCACATCCAGATTCTAGATCGCTCGCGCACCATCGTCTGCGTCTCGACAAGGCCGCCACGGCAGAAAGCAAGAGAGCCCCGGCCTCCCCGCCGTGCAACGCCTCTCGGAAGCCGGTAGGGCTCGGGCCCAAGGCGCGGCCCTCCTGGAAGAGGCTCAGCCGTCTCTTCGGCGGCCTCGGCGGTAGGGGGTGACGGGCAGCTGGCACCCTGCAGCGAGGATGGATCGCACGAGCTCCATGCACCCTGCACCGATCCTGGTCGGGCACGTCCCGAGCCCAGGATCGGAACATACGCTCTCCTGACTTCGCCATGGAGGCAAATGCACCGATCAAAATCCTAAGATGGGCCTGGATAACAACAACTTGGAGCAGCAGCAGCCACGTTTCAAGGCAAGGCGGAACTGCCTTGCACTTGCAGAAAGCCACACGAATACGTCTCGCCTTGACAAACCCGGAACTCACCTCTGTCATTTCCCATACATTCCGTGCAAGTTGTTGAATGCGAACGTCGATCGATTTCGAGGGCCAATGCATTATCGGGAAGTTGTTCCTGAAAAGCGACCACCACGGTGCCTGCCTGGATGGTGGTTTTAAATACTTTGGCAACGACGGGCGTTAACCACTCACTCTGGAACTCATGATGGCTGCGGCAGGGGTTCGTACACCCGCTGCGGCAGGGGTTCGTACACCCGCCAGATATCCTTTTCCCAATCTAATACAATCCTCGTCACCAAGGCTATCAAACACGATGCTGTCTCTCGCCCCCGCTTTGCTATGCGACTTGGTGACGCAACCGCGCTCCCTCTCTAGCGGTTCAGACTTTCCTGTCATATGGCGGCAAGGGTCAGTGAACGTGCACGTGATTACCGACGTGTCACGCCCGACATAGAACACATCGTGCTCCGCTGTGTAGCGGAATGCTTAGACCTTGTCAGCAAAACATGTCCAAGGCAATCGTGATTCAGATTTCCCAAGTCTTCAACTGTTTGCCTTGATAAGGAGGAGCAACAAGACGAGCATGGCGAAACGCAGAAGAAGATGATGTGGATGACGAAAAAATGGATCAACAGAAAGAGAGGGAACTTGAAAGAACAACATAAGGTTGAAGTCACAACACCCAAACACACATCACCCCTCACTTTCTCATCCTGCGCTTCTCCCAATTAACCTTGAAACCTGGTTTCTTGAAAGGGCGACCTTTCGAATTGCACTCCTGGTCTTCTCGAGATACCCGAGTGGAGACCTGACCACAATATTGCACAACAACACTCATGTGCGGACGATGTAACGGCAGAATATTTGCAAATACTACAGCCGGGTCAAAACATAAGAGATCGCGGACACGAGATAAAACACTACACGAAACACAGAGAAAGACGAGTATCCGCAACCGTTCCCCCTGGCACGTCGAGGCGAGGCGTAATGCCAAGTGCTGTCTGATAGGGTTTCTGCAAATCTCTGAAGGCCCCCCCCTCCTCACGGTCACACGTCCCCGCATTGCACCGACCCCCTCTCCCGTCCTCCCCCGGGTTCATGGGTGCTTCGACGCCTCCGTCAAACTCCCCAAGGCTCGGCTCTCCACGGCTTTCAATACGGCCCAGGAAGGCCGCCAAGGCCGCCAAGATGGCCCAGTATGGCCTCAAGGCGCACTCCATAACCATGAATAGGCGATCGCCCAAAACCCAAGAGGCCTCCAACAAGCTGTGATACACCACCAACTGCGCTCTCCAGGAGGCCCTCGAGAGGCCGCCCCATTTCGAGACAAGCACTCGCATTTTCTTCCCGTCGTCGGCGAACCCGCTGGCCACGTTGTGCCGCTGGCCGACGCAATAACACAACATGTCCATGAACGCGTCCTCCCGTTCGCCGCCCGCTTCGCATTGACACTGCGCTCCTCATCAAGTGAGGAGAGACCCTACTTGGTGATTAACTCCACAATGACCATGCCTGCGACGACCATGCGTACTCGCGACCAGTCCGTTCGTTTTCGCTTCGCATGTGCATTGCGCGTGAGTCTTCGTACGTTCAAAGCACCTAGCTGCTTGCAGCACCTATGCGCGATGTCTATGCCGAAGCAGACAGAAGTACATCATCCACGCCGTGGGGACAGGCGCAAAGATGGGTGAACCATGTTTGAAACAACCTAAAACACCTGTGACGATCCACCAATGGCTGAGAGCCAGATGCACGGCGTTGAACGCAACCCGCTGTCGTAAACAACTGGACCTGAATCTGGTCGCCGACGGCACCGATTTGCCGCCGTGGCTCGCAAGAGCGCGGTAACCTTGGGCGAATGCGAACAGGGCGGATCCACACGGCTAGTATCACGCCTGTGGGCTCTCTCTCTCTCTCTGATTCTCTCCCTCTCTCGCGGCCCTTGTACATTCGTACGTACATTCGCGTCTATTTCCACACGCACCCTTCAGCAACCCGTCTTGACGGCTCATCCTCGCCGTCCTCCTCATTTTCTGTGTGCCTGCTTGTACGGATATCCGCCGATCCGGCGTGTGAGTTCCTGAGAGCGTGGGCTTGAGCTCGCTCAAGCTTCGCTCTGGCGAAGGGGGGGGGGGGGCTGACGCGAGCTGCGGTTCCGGCCCCGGACCCGGGACCCGGCGCGCTCCTGGGAGGGTGGGGGGGGGGGGGGGCTGACGCGAGCTGACGGTTTTCCGGCCCCCGGACCCGGGACCCGGGCGCGCTCCTGGGAGGGGGGGGCGGGGGCTGACGCGAGCTGACGGTTTTCCGGTCCCCGGACCCGGGACCCGGGACCCGGGCGCGCTGGGAAGGGGGGGGGGGGGGGCTGACGCGAGACCCGGACCCCCGGGACGCGCTCCTGGGAGGGGGGGGGGGGGGGGGCTGACGCGAGCTCCGGGCGCGCCCTGGGAGGGGGGGGCGGGGCTGACGCGAGCTGACGGTTTTCCGGTCCCCGGACCCGGGACCCGGGCGCGCTTCTGGGAAGGGGGGGGGGGGGGGCTGACGCGAGCTGACGGTTTTCCGGTCCCTGGACCCGGGACCCGGGACCCGGGCGCGCTCCTGGGAGCGGGGGGGGGGGGGAGGGCTGACGTGAGCTGACGGTTTTCCGGCCCCCGGACCCGGGACCCGGGAACCGGGCCCCGGGAGCCGGGAGCCGGGACCCAGGCGCCGGCCGGCCCCGGGACCCGGGACCGGGGGGCGGGCCCCGGGAGCCGGGACCCGGGCGCGCGGGGGCCGGCCGGCTCCGGGAGCCGGGACTCCGGACCTGGCCGGCCCAGGAGCCGGGACCCGGGCGCGCGGGAGCCGGCCGGCCCCGGGACCCGGAACCATGGGGCCGGGCCCGGGCCGGGCCCGGGAGCCGGGACCGCCAAGAGCTTGGGACCCGGGCGCGCGGGAGCCGGACCAATGCGACCCGACGCGAAGGGTCGGGCCCGGGAACTAAAGCCAGGGGCCCGAGCGCGCCGGGGTCCGGGCCAACCTCGGGATCCGGGACTCGGGGGCCGGGTCCGGGAGCCGGGAGCCGGGACCCGGGCGCGCGAGGGCCGGCCAGCCCCGGGATCTGCGACCCCGGGAGCCGGGACCAGGGACCCGGGCGCGCGGGCGCCGGCCGGCTGCGGGACCCGGGACCCGGGGGCCGGACCCGGGAGCCTCGACCCGGGACCCGCGCGCGCGGAGGCCGGCCGGGACCCGGGCGCGCGGGGACCGGCCGTCCCCGGGACCCGGGACCCGGGACCCGGGGGCCAGCCCCGGGAGCCGGGACCCGGAACCCGAGCGCGCGGGAGCCGGCCGGGACCCGGGCGCGCGGGGGCCGGCCGGCCCGGGACCCGGGACCCGAGCGCGCGGGGGCCGGCCGGATCCCCGGCTCCCCCAACCCGCGACCCGGGACCGACGCGGACCCGGCACCGGCGCGGACCCGAGACCCACGACGGGAGCCGGCCGGCCCCGGGACCCGGGACCATGGGGCCGGGCCCGAGCCGGGCCCGGGAGCCGGGACCGCCAAGAGCTTGGGACCCAGGCGCGCGGGAGCCGACCGGGACCTGGGCGCGCAGGGGCCGGCCGGCCGCGGGACCCGGGACCCGGGAGCCGGACCCGGGAGCCTCGACCCGGGCGCGCGCGAAGAGCAGAAGGACGAAGAGAAGAAGAGGGAGAAGTAGGAGGACATCGAAGCGGGAGAGGAGGAGCGAAAAGCGCACGAGAAGGAGGAAGAGAAACAAGAGGATGAGGGAGGAGGAGGAGAAGCAAGAGGAGGAGTAGGAGGATTAAGAGCGCCCCGGATCGGCGGCACTGGCCGGAGGCCACTACAATATACATATATATATATACATATACATATGAATGTATTCCTGTCTGTCTGTCTGCCTGCCTGCCTGCCTCTTGCTCTCTTTCTCCCTCTCTCTCTATATATTCCCCCCTTTCTCTCTCTCGCTCTTCTTTTCCTCTCCCTGCACACCTTTCAGCCACCGTACCCCGAGGCACGAAGTGGAATATCCTCAAGTGTACTGAACATTGTAATGCTTTCTATTACCTAGAGTCCTGGGCGCTCCCATGCGCAACTGGGGAGGGAAGGGGAGGGAGAGACGGGATGCGGAGAGAATGGAACACACACCAAGCGGGAGGACCAATCCGGGTGGTGGAAGGAGGACGCAAAACTCTGCGGCGAAATCCCGATCCACTCCGCAAGCCTGATCTGTGTGGCTCCAAGCGCCCGATCCGAAATCCTATGTACGGCCGCGAAGCCCAACCGCCTTGCGGCTGGAAAGCCGCAAGGGGCGCGCCTGGGCGCGACCGCGTGTGTTAAACAACATCAGAATGTCCCCTGAGCCAGAGAATTGGCGCGGCGGACCCTCCGCCGCGACAGAAACGCGCGCGAAGGAGCCGATCTCTGCGAGGTGGTGGCGAGGGGGGCATGGGTAGGGGGGGCAAGGACGAAGAGGAAGAGGAGAAGAGAAGCGGGGGGGGGGGGGGGGGCAAAGACTGGCGTGTGGGGGGGCGCCATGGTACCGTGGTAGTGCTGGGGGTGGGCGAACCAGATCTCCGACGACACGAGTCTTTTGGTCTGCGCGTTTCGATTTCGGCCTCTAGGGCCGGTTTTCGGGCGCTGGGGTCATCAACCATGGATCTGGGGCGAAGCACTTGCCTCGGGGAAGGGTTCGGAACCTCTGAGGCCGCACGTTGAAAACAACATATCGCCGGATGTCTGGGAAGGCGCCCGCATCCGCGCTGTCCCGTGGTCGGTGGAGACCCTGTCGGGTGCACACTCCGACGTTCCAGTGCCCACAAGGTGGGTGGCGGCCGATATGAGGGACCATCGCCCGCAGGGGAAGCACCTGCTGAGGACGAGCGTCTGCTCTGCGGGTTGGAGGCTCTTCAGTCTGGTCGGTGTTCTCACTTCCTCTCCTCTCTGTTGTCCTTTGCACACGCGTGCTGGCAAGAGAACACGCACCTCGACTCACTCCATGCCCGTCAAAAAAGGGCGACGTGATAGCCGACATCTTCCACTCCGTGCTCGAATCCTCCCCTCCGTTCCCCCCCCCTTGCTCTCCTCCTCCTCTGCGCGTCCCCGCTCCCTGTGGCTCCCTGTGATTTGCCAAGGTGGCCTGAACGACCATTGCCACCCAACACAACTGGCATGTAACACGACTCCTGCCGCATAGCCATGCCGGCATTTAGCACGCTTCCTTCTCCCGCTGAATCTGCCGCCAGCCGCCTCGACCACGACGGCACCTTCGAATGTGGCGTGCCTCGCCTGGGTCTCGAGGAGAAGGTGAGGGGAAACGACAGGGTGAGACAAGCTCGCGGGGAGAGTCGTCGAGCTTGGATCGGCGATGTATCGCCGATGCGCCGGCGATGAGCCCTCGATCGCGACAAGGCACATTCCTGGGCGGGGTGGGCTGCCAGGCCCCGTATCTGCGATGAAGACGGGGGGTCGGTGCGTTCCCCCCTGGGCCCGTCCCCCCTCGACGCTGCCCCCGAGAGGGACGGTCGCACGCTCTTCTTTCTCGACGCGCGCCTACGCTGTCAGTACAAGCCCTTGGCGTGGCGGCAAAGCGGCCCGCCACCGACTGTCCGGAGGAAACCGCTCTCCTCGCCGGGGGAGGGGAGGCGCGCTGCGCCACGCGGGTTGTCTACAGAGGCCAGCGTGCAAGTGGGTTTCTGTCGCTTTTCCAAGGCCCGACCACCCCGTGTTCGCACGCGTGACTGTCATGTCATGTTCGCTGGCCGCTCCACCAGCGCTCCTTTGAAAGGTACAATGACCAAGCTCGGCACGCCAACGGGGTTCACGCATGCTGCTGATGACGTATCCTCTATCGTCCTGCCTCAACTAAGCTCCCTTGCTCCTCCTCATTCGCTCTAGTGCCCTCCGTTCTGCATATAATGTGCGTTGATTCCCACCTCGTGATTCAATCCCTGGGTTTGTCTCAAAGCCCAAACATGGTCGATCCCATGTCTCTGGAAATCGAACAACGTTTTTTGAAAACAGCCTGTGATCCCCCTTCCTCCCTGTCCTCCTCTCCACCTTCCCACTTTTGGAAGCCGAGGCGCGATGCCGGCAACATCACGGCGGTAATGGAGCTTTGAGAAGAATCGCCCCTTGGGAGGCTCTGGCGACAAGACTGCCATGGCCTCGGTGACCAAAGGGTTGTGAAGAGAGACTCGTCTACCGGGCCACGCCGGGCGCTCTTCCTGAGAGGTCTCCGAAGCGAGATTCGTCTACGAAGCCGAGGCGGGCGCTCCTCCTGAAAGGTCTCCGCAAATCTGAGCGCCAACTCGCTCTTGCAACGCTCCTGGTCGGCACCCCTTTGGGAGGCCCATGTGCGGTGCCCCTGCTACATCGCGGTGGCTATGGGGCTGTCGGAAAACCGTCAACTGGCCAGAAACGATTGCTCTGCCTAAGCGGTCCCCCGCAATCAGGGCGCGAGCGTGCCAGAGCAGCACCTCTGGTCGGCACCCTTTCGAGAGGCCCGGCTGGCATCACCACGGGGTTCTGCGGAGAAATTCGTCTGCTGGGCCAGAGCGGGCATGCTGCCCGAGAGGTCCCCGCAATCTGGGCCATCGGGAGGCCCAAGTGAGATATCATGGGGCCCTGTGAAGAAACCCGTCGCGTCTACTTGGCAGGAACAGGCGTGCCGCCTGAGATGTCCCCGAAGCTTGCGCGCGACCAGGCCAGTGCAACACCCCTTGGTTGGCAACCCCTTGGGATGCCCAATCGCGATGCCTGCTACATCCCAGTGATCATGGATCTGGAAGAATTCTCGTCTACTGGACCAAAAAGGGCGTTCTAATTGGGAGATGCAATGCGGGCGAATGATTCTGATTGAGCATGGATCTGGATGCGAGTGAGTGTGAGTATCCGTGAGTCTGAGTCTGAATGAGTATTGGTGACAGCGAGTCTGGGTATGAGCGAGTCTGGGTTTGGCGCGTCCGAGGATGAGTGGGCCAGAGCATGCGAGAGTCTGAATGCGAGGGAGTCTGATTGTACATGGAGTCTTGGTATGATCTAGCCTGGGTATAACTCAGCCTGAACATCAGTGGACCTGGACACGAGTGCGTCTGAGTATGGAGGGCAGGAGAGAGGTGAGGGGAGGCCACGGTGATACCGCACCACACTCAAGATCTTGAAATTGATGCCGGCGCGCGGACCCCACACACCAGACCTTGGACTCCCGCTGTTCAGGCTATGCAGCGCAGGCCACTGGATATGTATTAGCCCTGAGGCACCAGCCACGAGGCACCGACCCCGCGGGGAAGCAGCAACTCCTTTGTTGGCAGCGCTGGCGGACGCGAGCGCGACTGCAGAGCCGGCGGGACGCGCCGTGCACCAGGCACACCAGAGCGGGCGGAAGAGCGGAAGGAGGCCCAGGCCGCCGAGGGTTGGCGGGGCGCGCGCGGGCGGCCTCGTGCAGCGAGCACGAGTGTCAAGCCAGGGGTGTGCGGGCAGCGCAGGCTGCCGAAGGACCGACTGCGACACACAGGCAGGAGAGCCCAACATCGAGTCGATAAGTCGGATCGGCGATCGGAATGAATCAGATCGACGGAAATCGGGAGCCAAATCGGGAGAAATCGAATCGGCGGAAATCGGCAGGCTAGTAAGGCCTCCATCGAAACGCTGGCATCCAAATCGGCATCCGAAATCGAATCGAACCGCAACCGGAATCGGTCGGCACCGAACCGAATCGAGTCGGGGGAGTCGAGGGACCGACTGCGACACACAGGCCACCACGGGGCACCAAACGCGGGGCACAAACCAGTGGGCACCGCCCGCCAGGCAGACGACGCGCGGACGCCCGACTGCGACGCGCCAGGGCCGCGGGTCTTGCGCGAGATGGCACAGCGGCCTTACGCGTTGGCCTACGCGGGCCACCAGCGCGGCGCACTGCGCGGCCTCACGCGGGGAGCTCACGCGCCAATGCCCAGGCAATCGACCCCCGTTTTCTTCCGTCGCTCATCTGTGGGCACCGTCTAACCGATCCCTATCCCCACTAGCGTGGCCTGGGTCCCACTGGCCGATTCCCCCCCAACATCTGACTCAATCGATCTCACTATCGATCTCACTCAACAAGACACCACGGGACACCACGGGACACCGCAGGACACCTCTCGATCTCACTATCGGTCTCACAATCGATCTCACTATCGATCTCACTCAACGGGACACCTCGGGACACCACATCGATCTCACTATCGATCTCACGATCGATCTCACTATCGATCTCACTCAACAAGACACCACGGGACACCTCGGGACACCCGTCGATCTCACTATCGATCTCACTCAGCGGGACACCACGGGACACCACGATCTCAGTATCGATCTCACTATCGATCTCACTCAACGGAACACCGCGGGACATTATTACGGGACACCTGTCGATCTCACTATCGATCTCACTCAACGGGACACCACGGGACACCACGGGACACCTCGGGGCACCTTATCGATCTCAACATCGACCTAACTATCGATCTCACGATCGATCTCACTCAACGGGACACCACGGGACACCAGCGGGACACCGCGCGGCACCGGCCGCCGGAAGAGAAACATTTGGTCCGGCCGCGGCCCAGCCACAGGAGGATTTCGGGACACCAGCGGGACACCGGCGGGACACCGCGCGGTGCTGGCGGCCGGAGGAGTTACAAATGGTCCGGCCGCGGCCCAGCCACAGGATGATTTCCTCTCGCCGGCCCACGCAGCTTCGCCTCGCCCGCACGCACGCACGGCACGCACGACACGGACCCGAAACCGAAATTGATTTCCCGGTAGGGGGGGTCTCCGTTTCAAGTCGGACTCAATCACCCAACCTCTGATACTTATCTACATATGGTTTCGAGGGGCCTATCCTCGACTGGGGTGGTGGGATGGTGGGGCTGAGGTACCATGGCCCGGTGGGGATGGGGATAGGTTGGACCATCCTGAATCTGACACCAGCGCGCGCAGAGCCGACCGTGGCAGACGAGGTCAGCTCGTTAGAACACAGATGTTATGGGAAAGGCTGCAACAGGCCTGGAACAACCAAATCCAACTGGGAGCGAATCCTGCCCCCTGGGGCGCTCCCCGGGCCCAGTCTTTCATCCTGATTCGTTTCTTCACGCTCTTGGGACATGGGGAGGATTTTGTGAGTCCGAGATCAGCAATCAAAAACTCGAAGACAACGCTCCTCCCAGACGCCTCGCCTTCATGCCACAGCAACTGTGCTTCCTGGGTGCCCCAGCCAGTAGCATCCACCCATGGAGACAGGGCGCCTCGCCTCCAGCCTGGCGCTGCTGCGGAGCCCGGGCGGGGGCCCGCTCCTCAGCGGCTGGGGCGGAAGCATGCGGGGCAGTCGGGCGCACAGGCTGAGCCGAGGATCGAACGCCTACGTATACTCCAGATTCTTCCATGGACACACCCTGCGCCACTCCGCCTGGCGGCCCTCCTGGCCCCCCCACGCCCAGCGAACCCGTCCCCGCAAGCGATCCACCTCCCAAAGGCCCCTCGAAGGACTGCCCATTCCTACATCCCCACGCGACCCCCCGCCAACCATGCTTATTGAACAACTCGGAATGAACTTGCGGCCCAGGTCGCCAGCTCCAGAAGGCCAACGGGGCGCGCGATCCTCTGCGAGAGGTTCGCGTCAGATCCGATGTTTTCGCGAATGCCGTGGAATCGCGCGAGCGTGATAGTACACTGGGAGGTCTGAAAACTCGCCCGAACGCCTGTCCAATACACATGCAAACTGGATGTGTTTTTTTGTCGCCGCCCAGAATCTCTCCGGAATGGTATTGGGAGCCACCGAAGGGGCCGCGTGATTTCCAGCGCTTTCATCTCCCGAGAAAGTCGCCAGAAACACTCAGACGCAGCCTTACGCTGGGACATGCACCCATATGTGCTGCATTAACAACGAAGAGAGACGGATTGACGCCTGAGCCACGCACGAGGCACCCTGCACGCTACCCTGTAGCGGAGCATAACATAACATCTAGCATCTTGCATGTATTATGAATCCGCCGCCGTGCTTTCAGCGCGTAGAGGAAGAGGCTCGTACGCGTGTGGGTGTGAAACAGATGATGGTATCATCGTAAGCGCGAGCCGCCGATCTGCCAGAATTCTTGGGCGCTCTTGGGCGAACTCGGCGTGCGTTTCTTGCGTGGGTTTCCGGGAAGCTCAGCCCGCCCAAACCGACTCCAATATCCTCCTGGGGCGCACCATGATACGCTGAGAAAAGATTACGATCCCTCGGTGGCCCCGAGGGGCCGTCATGGGGCTCTCTTGGGGACCTGATGGGCCGTCTTGCGGGCCGTCGGGGCAAACCCAGGAGAGCCATCTCACTGAAACCACATATGTTCGTTCAACATGATGTCAACACACTCTGCTTGTTAGTCTTCTGGGCGTCCTCGCCTGCCCAAAACGCCCCCAATACTTGCCCAACTCCGATCCACCCACGACCCATTCCGCGACCCACCTGCGACACATTCCGAGCCCCGCCCCGCCTCTCACCCACATTCTACATTACAATCGACAACATAATAACATATTTCGCGCCTGCGGCGGGCTGCATTGCATTGGTTTGGGACAACGCAACCACCGCGTGACCACCCGCGGC